CCCTGCCCTGCCTGCCCCAGAGACCAGCACCACTCTGGGACCCCCCTCCCACCACGCTGCAGGGCCAATCTCACCCTGTGACCCGCTGCCCCCCACACCAAACCTGCTCGCCCAGAGCCCCCCGGACCCGCCCCACCCAGCCCTGGGAGCAGACGTGGCGGGGGAAGGAAAGCCGGGCAGGACTCCGGCTGTGGGGCGCCCCTGTGTGGGGGAGGGGCTGCTAGTGGGGCCCGCGCTGCTCCCCACCGTTTTGGAAGTGAAGAGGTGCTGGGGCGGCGGCGCCCCCTGCGGCGGGGAGGGGAAGGGGTCCAGCCCCCTGGGCTCCAGCCCTGCCCCACTGTCCGGGCGGCCGTCCGAGTCCTCACTGCTCCCCCACACCGTGGTCAGCTCTGGGGGGGGAGGAGAGTCAGTGGGGGGGCAGCACAGGCCCCCAGTGACTCCCACTGCCCGAGCGCCCCCCCCCCCCCCCCGCCCGGGCCCCCCCCCCCCCCCGGCCAACCCCCCCCCCCCCCCCCCCCATGGCAGCCCCCGAACTGGCCCAGCTGAAGCCCCGCGCGGAGGGGGGGACAGGGCCCGGGGCGACCTGTGAGCGTGGAGAGACGTCGGCCCTGGCGCGAGCGTCGGCCCAGCACTGGCACCGCGGGCAGCAGTCTCCGGTCCCGGCCTCCGTCTTCAGCAACGGCCCCGGCTGGGAGGGTCCCCGGGGGCTCACTCGCCTGGGGGGGGGGGGAAAAGAGTTTGAGGCTGGAGCTGAGCTGCCCCCCCCACCCCTTCCCAGCCCAGCAGGCAGTAGAGCAGGGCACCAAGCTAGGGGGGACTTGGGGGCCCGGGGAAAGATGTGAGGCACCTTTGGGGAGCAGCCCCCCCCCCCAGTCCCCCCTCACCCTCCCTGGCCAGTCAGCCGGGGGCTGGGACGCAGGAGCACCGGGGAAGGCCCCTCCCCCAGCCAGCCTGGGGCTGCCCCACCACGGTCACCCCGGCCCCGACGAGCTGCCCCCGGAACGTGCCTGGGCCCCAGGGAAGGGGCCGCTCACCCCGACCAGTATCCGAGGGGCTCCCGCACCCCCCGCTCGTACTCACGCTGGCGGCTGGCAGCACCGGGGGGCGCGTGCGCTTTGCTGCGACCACGGGGCCGATCAGGGGGGCCAGAGACGAGCGCTGGGGACGGAGCAGACGGGCCAGTGAGAGCAGCCCAGGCCGGGCACCCGCAGTGCAGCTCGATCCGTCCCCCGCCCCCCACGGCTTCACCCCGGCCCCAAAACACTGCACAAGGAACAGTCAGCAGAGCCCAGGGCTGGGCTGGTGGGGGGCTGCGGGTCGGGAGTGAGGGGCACCGGCAGAGCTGGGGGGGGGTGAGAGCCCAGGGCTGGGCTGGTGGGGGGCTGCGGGTCGGGAGTGAGGGGCACCAGGGTTATTACGGGGCTCAGATGAGGTCACTTCTGAGCTGCGGTGTCGCCCTCCCAAGCGGTTCCCAGGAGCCCAGGCTGCTTCTCCCCCCGTCCCCTGGAACCCCCCAGCTCTGGGTGCTGGGGCTGCCCTGCATGGGGGGTGGGGTCCCCACCATTCACAGAACTCCGGCCACATGCCACCGGGGGCAGAGCTGGGGACGGAACCCAGGAGTCCGGCTGCCCACAAGCCCCTTGCACGAGGCTGCATGGAGCTCCCAGGCCATCTGCCTCCCTCTGCCCTGTACCGCCGGCTCGGCAGCCCTGCAGTGCGGAGGCTGGGCAGGAGGCTGGGCCAGGCCCGGGGGGGATGGGTTGTGCTCAGGGTAACCAGTTCCTAGCGATCAGGGCCGCGGGCTGGGAGATGGCGCTGCCGGCCCAGCCTAGCGTCCAGAAATGAACCCCCCGCCCGGCCTCTCTCCCTCGCTCCAGACACGGGGCCGAGATCTCCCTGTCCCAGCCCTGGAGCCAGCAGCCCCCTGCACGGGCTGCCAGCCAACTCCAGACCCGACTCCGCCCTGGGGACCCGAGCCCTGACTCACACCTAGAGCAGGAGCCGGCTACCCCCC